CTCATGAAAGTGTAATAGCCTAGGGAAGAAGCCACTAAAATGTAACAGAGATAAAAAAAATATCTGAAAATGTAAAGCTCTATAAAATGCAAAATTTTCACAATGAATAAACATGCATTATTTATTAGATCCATTTTTCCTACATAAAGCATGTACAGTGGGGAAATTTTACACACTATTCACTATGTTTTTCCATGAAGTAGAACTGCATATTGCTACAAGTATTTATTATGAACAAAATCAAGGAAGCATACAGGCTTATTCCTTTATCCACTTACTTCCTGGAAGATATATGTCTCTCTATATATGTTGATTATCCTGCCATTCAAGTTTAGAATCCTCATTCCTCAATAGGAATAAAAGGATATGGGGATGCTAGAGGCAGTACTTCCATTGTGCTTTGGCATTTGGTATAAAAATTTCATGCAAAATTTGAAATTATTCAAAACTACTTTTGAAGAAATATACTTGTTGGTTTAACCAGGAATTCCAGCCACCCTTCCTGGAACACAAGCTACAGGTTGCTCTCAAAATCACAAGGTCTCACTATAAATGATTTCATTGAGGGATAGTAGATCCCTGATGACTGATTACATATTGGAAAACATGATAATTAATACTCAATAGTCATTTCACATAAGTGAGAATTCTGTGGCCTGAAAGTATTCTCCTTGAACCTATTTGTGGATTTCAACTATCCAAAGATTGCATACTATTATGTAATAGCAGAGACTGTACTTTAACAATGTTATTTGGGACATATTATCTCTAGAGTGGCTTGCTCTCTATTGCAATTTACATTCTTAAAACACTAAAAAAGTCTCCACCATTCTGCCCAAAACCAGATTAAAATAATAGCAGCAACAACAAAACAACTCTATTCCATCAGAGGTCATCAATAAGGCTGAATTTTAGACTTGTCCTCCCAGACATGTTCTAACTACATTTCCTCTAATTGCTGGATTTGGCTACCTTGTCTACATTATCTAAATTGAATCATTGGAGTGTTAAGAAAGAGACAAGTATTTTGTTTTATATAATTTTACAACTGGACAGTGAGCCATGATAGTTCTTAATTTCCTTTAATGGTATTATTCTCTGAAACCAAAGGAAAAATCAATGTCACATAATATGCTTTCCTAATCCTCAAATTTGGTAACCAAGAGACTGATGGCAGATAATATCAATTCCTATTGCACAAAGATTCTTCTATATCTCAGACTAAAGATGTACCTAATTACTTCATTTTTTTAAAAAAATGTTTTACTATTCCTTCTATTCATATGGGACAAAAAGTTCCCCAGGTTCTTGACTTCTATTGTCTAGATTCAATTAAGGACAAATTAGCAGTTTTTAACTATCATTTTATTTTGCCCAAACATATATGTTTCTTTTGCTATTGCATTAAAACTAAGGTTCAATATTTGAAGGATATTGATAAGACACCAAAGATATTTACTTACTTAACATGGCAAATGTTCCGTACATAGTATCTCATGGAACACTGAATTAATTCTTTAGCTGCTGCCAACCTTCTTTTTATATGCTACGTTTATAGAATGTGAATGAGATTCAGTTTTAAAAGGCAAAATATTTTAAATCCCTAAGGTAAAAATATAACTCTTCAGCTAAGTTTCTTTCAATAAGAGTTTTTTTTATAGACATTCATTAAGGGATAATACAATACAGATAGAAAAATCTAGACTTCACAATATCTAGGTTCCAACTCTACTGAAATAGGACACAATCACATTTTAAGTAAATATGAATGAACACTGGTTTATGCCTGAAGTCAACATTAAACTTGAATGACTGGACTATTGTAATGCGCTCTACATGGGGCAGCCCTTGAAGAGCATTCGGAGACTTCAGCTTGTCCAGAATGCGGCCGCGCGAGCGATTGTGGGTACACCTCGGTACACCCACGTTACATCTATCCTCCGCGAGCTGCACTGGCTGCCTATTAGACTCCGGATACGTTTCAAGGTGCTAGTTGTTACTTTTAAAGCCCTACATGGTATCGGACCTGGGTACTTGAGAGACCGCCTCCTGCCAATTACCTCCCTGCGACCAATTAGATCCCACAGATTAGGCCTCCTCCGGATACCATCAGCTAGCCAGTGTCAACTGTCGACCCCCCGGGGGAGGGCCTTCTCTGTGGCTGCTCCAGCCCTCTGGAACGATCTCCCCATGGAGATTCGGACCCTTACCACCCTTCAGGCTTTCCGCAAAGCCGTTAAGACCTGGCTGTTCCGGCAGGCCTGGGGCTGATGAGTTCCCAGCCCCATTCGAATTGTTGTGGCTGTTGAGGAGTTTTAATCTGTTTTTTGTAATTGTTTTGTCTTGTTTGTTTTTTGTATTACCCCCTCCCCTATGAGTTTGTTAGCCGCCCTGAGTCCCCCCGGGAATAGGGCGGCATACAAGTTTAATAAACCATAACCATAACCAAACCATAAATAACACTCATGCTTTCAGTACTGCCCTGTATGACACAAGCACATAATCTGCTGAATGATTTAGATAATTGCAGTTCTTTACTTAAAGGTACAGTAAATAAAGACATAGCCTTCCTATGTATATTTCCACTGTTCACCATGTAACTATTTTTTGTTCTTAGTTAATGCACGTACGAGCCAGAATTTTAATAGTTTTTATTAATATAAAAATAACAATGACAGCAGTTAACTGTTAACAGTTAATAAGACACACAAGGAACAAGTCCATATTTAATGCACACAGTTTACAGATTTGTATTACAAATTGTTTCTGTAAAATAAACTTTGTACAAAAAAGTAATTATTTAAAATAATATTTCATTGTATAAATTATAAATCTGGAAACATTCCAAACATTCCACTGTCATTCATTTGAAATTTACTGTGTAAACCAGCATCTATTAAATATAAGCATTGTAACAACTATTATAGAAATGCATTAATGTTCTTTGAAATTATTTATGTGGCAACAATGGTAAGGAAATAAGGTGAGAATACAATCTGAAAAATACCCCTCCTTTTTCCCTCAAGTTATGAGCATGATGAATTAGTGTGTAATACATATAAACAAAAAAGTCTAAAACATTTCCTATGGGGATAAAAGATTAAGATTATACTATACAAAGTGACAGTGAAAAACTGTGACTCCCTGATTTCATGGGTTATACATATCCAGATTTCTTGTTATATTAACTTTGTTCAAAGAATAGCTGGGATGAACAATAATCTTACTACACCACAATCTTTTTTTTTTTTTTGCTTTTGCTATATCTTTTCCTTTAGCTTGAACATATATTGAACTAGGAATAGAAATAATGTGGAGAAGAACATCAACATATATTCCCTTCTCTTTTCCTCTTTCATGTTATTCTTTCCCCATACAATTCCCCATATAATGTGCACCTTTCTGTGCTGTTAAAATTATACTATATAAATGTTATGAATTGAAACAAAAGTGACATTTCCTCAAAAATACATCTACCTTACTTTCTCTTTTAAAGAATCTAACAGTTCTTAAACTATATAAAATTGGAGGCAAATTTAAAGATCTTTCTGTAATATTTGGACAGTTTTTAAATATCTGTGTAGATGTAGGAAGATTCACACAAGCATATTTTCAACTTTCCCTGAAGAACATATGACACTATAGCCTTTCTTCCAATGGTGGTTTCAAAATTTTTTACTATCTATTCTGCGAGTGTGGCCTATTTTGTGGGTGTGGCTTGGCGGTCATGTGACCGAGTGGGCATGGCCAAATTGTAAAATGTGGTGAAACTCATTTAACAATGCTCTTGCTCAGCAACCAAAATTTTGGGCTCAATTGTGGTCATAAATTCTCTCTTTTTCTTTCTTTTTTGTCTCTCTCCCTCCCACTTTCTTTCTTTTTCTTTCTCTCACTTTCTCTTTCTATCTTTGTCTCTCTTTTTTCTCTCCCCCTTTCTTCCTTTCCTTCTCTCTTACTCTTTCGCTTTCTTTCTCTCTCCCCCCCTCTCTTACAAACACACTCAACACACACTACCTCCACTGACTTTGAACTCTTTCTCCCCCGCTGCCAAAACCCCTTCACCTGCAGTTGCCCTTTAACCTCCCACCTGTTGAAGATGCGTGGTGGTCCTCCTAGAGAAGCAGCCAAGGAGCACTTTCCTTCACCCCCTGAATAGCGCGTAGACTGAGGAAGGGGAGAGGGGAGAGTGGAGCTGCTCTTTTTTCCATGGGGCAGAAGGAGGCGAGGCAGCCTCAGGTGCCATCCGGGGACCCTCAGATGCACTGCTTCTCAGCTAGAAACAAGGTGAGGAAGGAATCTCTGGTGTCTGCAGCAGTAGCAGAAGTAAAAGCGGCGGCGGCAGCTGAAGCACAATCTTGGGCAATCAGTTCTGGCTCTCTCTTCCCCTAACATGTCCTGTTGCTGCTGGTACTGCTTTTGGTGAATCTAGCTCACCGGTAAGGCTCTTGCCAGAGATTCCTTCCTCGCTGCCGCTTTGTTTCGGGCCGAGAAACAATGCCCCTGAAGGGCTTGGCCTGAAACATGAGGATCATGGAGGAAAGTGTTTTAAGGGCAGAGCAGCAGCAGCGGAGAGAGTGCAGACCTTCTGAGATGCAGGAAGCAGCTGCCAGAGATGCTCTCAGGGCAAAGATGGTGCAAGCAGAGAGGACTATTGCTCCAGATCTTGCGGGTTTTTTTGGGTTTTCTATAAGCGCTTCATAGTGAGTAAAAATAAGCCCTCCAAATATACAAGTATGCCTTCAATATATTTTCACTTAAATATGCCATCCAGCCAGATCAATAATCACAATAAAAATAAAATATTTACTGTTCAGAGGCTGTTTTGAGTGTCTTCCCTCATTATTTTTCCAGAATAACTGATGCAAAATTTTTTAGCCACATCACAAACAACTCTAAATAATAACAAGATCTTTCCATCATAAGTCTAATGAAACTGAAGAAACATTTATGTTGGATGAAATATCACACTATATTCCATATACATAAACTTCAAAACTCACCTACAGTTTGGAGGAGGGTCTAATGTAATTTCTGCAAGCTCCTTCTGAATCCTTAAGAGAAAAAACACAAATAGAACTATGTTAAAAAAGTTTCCTTCTAATTTTATTGAAGGTAATTAATCACATGATATAAGAGGTTTTAATTACAAATTAAAAGGCTACGTGGTATAATTTTATACCATTCTTACTGGCTATGAAGTTATAGCATTCTTACTGGCTATGAAGTTGAAGAGAAATTTTTATATAGACAAAAAGTATAGCTTCCATCCCAAAAGAAGAGACACAGACCATACCTATGATTGTAGTGGGGCTACATCTCCTGACCACTTATCTCCTCCCAATCTCTGCCTTTTTGATGCCCTGCATTCTAGTGGTCTCAGTTGCCCTTTGCTGTCTTCTTGTTCCCACTGCTGATCAAAATCATCTGGCCTGTCCTTTCATAAGAGAGCTATTAGACATTTGAGGTTTTCTTCCTGAGATCATGTGCAGTTTTCTTCAAAACCTACTTGGGGAGGTAGGTAGGCCTTGTGTGACCAGCAACTGGCTATACTGTGTCCAGCCCTGGGCACCACATTTGAAGAATATTTCAATGGAACTGGAACAGGTACAAAAAAGAAAAACAAGGATGATGAGGAAATTGAAACTAAATGATTGAGGACAAAGTAAAAAAAAAATAGAGTGGAGTTGAGCCTTAAGAAAAAAAGACTGAATGTGGTCTTGAGAACTCATAAAAAGAATTATTGTATAGAAGAAAGCCACAATCCATTTTCTAACATTTTAGTTTATAGGGCATAAAATATCTTAGTTTTAAGAAAGCAGTTGATCTTTTGGGAGGAAAAATAGAAACAATAATTTGATAGCAGAATCAGTTACCTATGAAATTAAGTTATCTTTTAATGAGGTAACTAAGACTTACCTATCTACATTTTACTGGATGCTTTGAAGCAGAAATTATATGCACAGTTTTAAGAGATGTTTTAATTTCAATTTCTGCACTGAACAAAATGTTAAACTTGATGGCTTAAATGTGTGCATGCACATGTGCACGCACCCCCCCACAGAAAATAAATCTCATCAATAAATAGGTATGCAAATTCCAGATATTTTGGTGCTTAATTCAATATGCAAATGATTTTTAAAGTCACACACATTTAATGTTATGTATATCTACCTTCCTTTATGTTAATAAATATTTCAGATGTACTATTTCAAATAAATCACCAACTGATATACACAACAAGAAGAAAAAAAAATTAGTAATATTCAAATTGTGGAAAGCATTCCCTAACAATATTTGCTGGCATCTTCCATTTTATCAGCAGAAAGTCACTTCTATTGTTCTCAATGAATGGTAATAGATCATACATTGCAATATATTTCTGAACTGTAACCCTCTCATAGTCATTTACTGAAATGGACAGCCATAGAAATGGAACAAACAAATAAATAAAAGATATAAACGGAATCTCAGTTTAAACAGTAACATATATTATAACATATATTACCAACTTTTTTTCTTTTAAATGAATTATTGCATGATATAAATGGTTTACGTTCTCTTGAAAAACTTCACAAAAACTGGGAGTCAGCAAGATCTTTGGCTACCATAGCATATTGGACACCCTTATCCCCTCTTGCTTCTGGAGAATGAGATATACTATTACAAAAACATAAAATCTCATGAAATGTTGTTTCAAACTGAAAATATAAGATTTTGAGCAAGAACTCAAAAATTTCACAAAATAAAAAATAATAATGCCCATCTTTTGCAAAATATGGTATAGATATCCTTCATTTTATAATCACAATTGGGCCTGGAATCTTGGTTGTTGAGTGAAACAGTCATTAAGCAAGATGCCATATGACTGCTTCACTCAATGACGGCAATCTGGCTATTCCAGTTGCAGAACTTAAGTGACCTGATCGGAAGAAAGCATAGGTTTCCCATACATCTGAGAAGCCTATTTCCAGTCTCCACTCTATTGATGGAAGGCTTGCACCTTTTTCCCACCCCATCATGGACAACAATTGTGAGCAGGATGGTGTTCACTAGCACTTTCCCTTTCAGAGGGACAGAAACTATGGTAACATATTCCCATCTGGAGCAGCTAAAATGCTGGTGTTCTGTACCATTTGTTTTCCTCTGGGGGGGTGGAAACATTGGCATTTGATAGCAGTTTTCCCAGAGTGGATTGAAACATTGGTGTTTGTTATTGTTTTCCTGCCCTGATGGTGGTGGAGGGATTGCTGGTGTTTATCAGTTTTTCCTCCTGGATACACAGAAATACTGATATTCACTAACATTTTCTCTTCCAGAAGGGAAAACAGTAATGAACACCAGAGTTCCAAAAGGCTCAAAAAGCTGGTATTTGTTAATATTTTCTCTTTCAAAGGGGCAGAGATTCTGGCACTCGCTAGCATTTTTCGCTACGGTGCTGCTGTTCTAAATGCTCAGAATATTCGCATTTGCTATCATTTTTGCCAGCTTTGAGGTTCATTCCTTTAGCATGCGAGAGGATTTACCCTTACTGCATTAAGTGCTAATGAGCCCTTCACCTAAAATCTTTCTTGATGGTTTCCCCATTGATTTTTCTGAGGAAGTTGGCAGAGAAGATTGTAAATGGAGTTCCCATCATTTCAACATGGTTGGCAACTAGTCATAAATGTGAACAAGTTGACAAATATCCAAAATGCAGACATGTGAGCAGAGTAGGTTGATGTAACATATATGTGTCATTAATCACTCATTTTAGGGCCATTGTGACTGAACAATTGTTAAGAGACTAGTAGTAAGTTGAGAACTACCTGTAACCTCATGTAATGCTAGCTTTATTAATATTAGTTCTTTGGTGCTTATAACCAGAGCTAACTACACAACCTTTCCAAAAATTTATTTTTCCCTAGCTCATGGAATAAAACTTCCAGTTTAATATATAAACTGAACTATAAATTAATAACAGGAGTATACAAGGAGTCTTTTTCTCCCATTAATTAAATCTATATTTTCCTTTTTAAAAGTTAACTCTATTTTTCTAGTGATAGTTTCTTGACAATTATGGTGAAGCTATTGATGATAGATCTTTGAAATAATCAGGAAAAATTACAACGTGGACTTGTTAAAAGACCATTGGTTGTGAAGTTATATTCTGCATTTTTTATTTTGAATTCAGAAGCTCTCTTTAAGATGATTAAATGTTGAAATAATATTTTGAAAATGCAGATCATCTCAAAATCACAGTAACAAATTAACAGGACCAGAAATGATAGATTTGCTAACTCAGTGGACTACGTAGACTGAACAGAAAAGAATGGAATTGCGGTATGTCAAAATTTTGTTTTCAGCATTCAATAATGCATAAGAACAGGAAAGGCAAGAAATGTTTAGGCTTGTAAAGCCATGTGTTTTGGGAAACCCTATTAATGTAAGCTCTATCCATAACAAATCTAAATACAGAAATCATGACTTTGAAAATTTCTAAGTGTTCTCCAGATTTCATTTACCTCTTAGGGGCAAGAAAGCCAAAATTCTGTAATTCAACACTATAAATTTAAAAGTCACACTGAAATCAACATTACCCACAATGGAGGAACAGTGGATGAAGATGATTGAATTTGCAGAGATAGCTAAATTAAGTTCTTTAGTCTGAGAAAAAAATATTTATATTTAAGACTTACTTCAAATTCCTTATACTCTTGCACAAAAGGTAAAAATACACATGATTTGAAGTTTTGATGATTAGAGAAAAACTGGATATAGAAAAAATGATTTAAAAAAAAACAGACTAAGGGATAGTTTCATAATTATTCTTGCTAAAATTGGAAGCTTCTTTCTAGTTCTTGTATTCTTTCTGTACTTTTTACTTCTCTTATCTTCTTTTACTCTTTATTAATTTGTGCTAGATTTTATGTTCTTTGTGAAACTTTTATTTAAAAATATAAAAGTCACACTTATGTGTTTTATCATATATATGACGAAGTGGTTAGAATGCAATATTGCAGGCTAACTCTGCCCACCGCCAGCAGTTCAATCCTGAGTTGATCCTAACTTGCTCCTAGTTGACTCAGCCTTCCATCATTTCAAGGTCAATAAAATGAGGACGTATTGTTGGGGGCAATATGCTGACTCTGTAAACCACTTAGAGAGGGCTGGAAAACACTATGGAGTAATAGGTAAGTCTAAATGCTATTGCTATCTATCAAATTAGGGGGAACAGCGATGAATTTTACAGCAATAAGAATCACTATGAGATTCTATTTGAAATGCCTGAAATATTTAAGGCTAATTAACTATAAAATACACTGACAAATATGAACATTAGTTTGTCTCTTACTCACTTGCACATATTTATATAAGTCTTATGTATATGACCCAACTTTAATAACAGTGAAATCAGTATAGTTAGTAAACAAGCAACTGTTATTGCATGTGCTATAGTTGTCAATTGACCAGTTAGCACATAAATACTGTAAGACAACCAATTATAGTTATTAAAAGAAAAATAATCTGAAAAGTAAACCAAAGAGCAAGTACCTTTTAGCACTGGTTGAAAGTTTAGCTGCTGTTTTGCTAGAGATTTTGCCTTCTTTTTTCTTAGGTTGAATTTGTTCTCTTTCCTGATCCTGTTGAATACTTTCTCGCTGATCTCCATCAGAGCTGCCTCCACTGGTACTTGGGCTATCATCAACTCTTTGCCCTTCAGTAGTCATCTTATATTCTAAAAGAAAAGTAATAAAAATTAAAAATAGTTTTCATTTTCATTTCATTTCTTCCTGTTTTGCTTTATTATTCATCTAGTTCTAATATGTTATGTGTTAAACCTATGAGTTATGAAATCCTATAACCAGTTTGACAATATGAAATTCTGATGGAACCTGCCTTTTTAAAATCTCATAGGAACATCCCTGCTTTAGTAAGTTTTGCATAGAATTTCTATTGTTTGGCTCTCGCTATTTTTTGTCACAATTTTTAGAGGGTTGACTTTATAGTCTTTTGTTACAAGAATTTTGTTATGAAAATGCTACACTTGTTCATTTTTTCTTACAGTCTTCTAAAAGAGTCTTCCTGTTGATATTTGTTTAATTAGATTTTTTCACAATAATTTCAGATATGTTTCTTAATATCATTCCAGTGTATCATTTTCTAAGTGTACAGCTTTTCTATCCAGCTTTTTTAGTCTATTGACTCAGTCTTGCTCTTATTATTCACATCCACTTTTTAAAAAGATTCTCTAGTTTTATTTATCCATTTTAAAATTTCCACTCGTTCACTATTCACTAAGTGATCAATGTTTTGGTAATAGCTAATAAATATCAATTTGTGTCAAAAATCATTTTACACAAATGTTGCAGCATGTATAGGTTACTGTATTTGATCACATATTATTCTCTTGTTGTTTTATAGAACAGCGGAATTTACCAGCTAGATCTAGAAGCTGGTATGGTTTTTTTATGAAAAGGAGTGTCTTGTGCATCCTTATAGGGGCAGTTACTAAGCAAAAAGACAGCCTGTTGATTTTTAATACTATTGCTACCCATGTTCTCCCCAAAATAAGGACAGCATCTCCTATTAGTTTGTCCAAGGTATGTGGCTGGGCAGATTTTGCATGTATTTCGTAGACTCCTTGGTTTTCTAGCTGGATCTTGTCTTTGGGGTTTTTTAAGATTTGGCTATTTTTTGGTCACTGCCGAAGGCTGATATTGATATTGTGTTTGTGGAGAATTTTGCTGATTTTATCTGTGGTGCCTTTGATGTAAGGAAGGAGGGCAATGCCATTGTCCTGTTCTGTGTCCGAGAACATGACGATACTTCCCGCCTACCAGACATCTAGAAACTAGCCCTAGTCAACAAATGAGTCCCAATCACAAAAACCGACACCGGACCCAGACACACGTCATGAACACATGGCCAGACTGTAAACTCGGAGCCAAACCAAAGCCCGGGATGTTACACCACAGCCATCTGCTCAGGACATTACATCACAGAACTCAGGAGGTTACAACACAGCCAACCCTCCAGGAGGTTGCAGCACAGGACTCAGGATATCACTACAATAGAGCTCAGGATGTCATCACACAGCCCATTACTCAGATACCTCAGCAGGATATTACGATTATATATATATAGCCATACCCTTCCTGGGAATCGAACCTGTTGCTAGCTGATGAGAGCTAAATAGTTTGAAATAGATCTATACTAGTCTCCCTTTATTTATTTATCAGCACAAANGGCATTGCCAATCTCTTCCCTCAAGTGAAACAATAAAATAAACCTAGAGCTGAAACTTCATGCAGTATTAAAAAGAAGAATAGAAAGGGGGGGGGCATTGTTTAATAGACGGCTAAATTGGCAAAATGGACTGTTAAATTGGCCACCAAGCCACGGCCACAGAACCGTTAGTAAAAAAAAAATGAATCCCACCACTGGTCTACATGTCTAAAGTTTCTTACAGGATAAACCAACAAGGTATCTATAGGAGACGATCAGGCTGAGCCTGAGGGAGGGAGGGGTCATTATTAGTCTCGAATCCCTGGGTGCCCACAAGAGATCTAAGTCCAGCCCATCTTGAATTCCATTGCCACTTATCTATTGCCAATTTGCCTAGACTCTTACTACAGGTAGTCCTCAACTTACAATAGTTCATTTAGTGACTGTTCAAAGTTACAACAGCACTGAAAAAACCGACAGGGCCATTTTTCACGCATAACTATTGCAGCATCCCCATGGTCAGTGATCAAAATTCGGATGCTTGGTGGTCCCGGGGTCACAGGATCAACTTTAGAGATCTTCTCTGGCAAGCAAAAGCAACGGGGAAGCCAAATTCACTTAAGAACCATAACGAGTGCAGTGATTCACTTAATGTCTGTGATGAGAAAGGACGTAAAATGGGGCAAAGCTCACTTAACAAATTCAACTGAGGTCGTAAGACGAGAACCACCTGTAGTTCAGATTCTTGTAGAGTGTGTTAGCATACCATAAAACTATTTTCGTTTGAACTCTCTGGAGTTCTGATTTCCTGTGCTTAACACTACCAGGTTTTTTTAAAAATAAATTTAGATCTCTTTGCTTATTATATACTAGCTGACCACCCAGCACCGCCTGGGTATTTATTTATTCCAACCCTCCTTTCATGAACGTCGCTTCAATTTCTAATGCTGGATTTCCCCCCTTACCATAGGGAACCCCCTTGTGGATGACTGTGAAGCCGTTACCATGGCAACTCCACAGCACTGTACAGTAGAAGCCATTTTAAGCAGTATGGTAAAAGCCATTTTAAGGCACAACAGTGTGTTAACAGAACACACCGAGGGGTGT